CATGCTTTAATGATTTTATTATCATGAAACCTGTTCCAAAAACATTATTTTCATCTCCACTATTTATCATTGTGTACCTGCTCAGATCCGGAATTTCTACATTCTTCCGTTTGCTCTCCTGAATTGTCACAATATGCAGGTTATATTTATATAGGTGGAGGGGCTGCCTCCTCTAAACCTCCTGATTTGCTTCCCCATCAGGTGCGGTTTCCTAGGGGAGGTGACCCTAAGGTATGTAGTGTATGTGATTTTTGTAGTTGAATGAATGAATGAATGAAAATGAAAATAATTTTATTATTCTGGGACTACTGTCCCTTTAACAAGTTACAAATACAGAATATATATTAATATTTTGGTGTGTCCATAAAATACAATTTAATATTTACAAGTTGATTCGGAGTACAATAAAGCTATAAATGATAAAAAGATATAAATACGTGTAAATATAAAATATACAGAGAAAGTAATTAAGTAAACGAAATACCGATGCATTACAAAATAATCAGAGTATCTGGGTGTACTTGGAGGTTTTTACAGCTTAGGTTTCTAAGTGCATTTCGTGATCAATCGGATTGGGAATGGAGTAGGTGTTCGAATAGGAGAGATTTGAAAGAGGATATTGATTTTGCGTGTCGAATCTCTGAAGGTATAGAGTTCCAGAGGGAGACCACTTGTATTAAAAAGGATTTATCAAACGCAGCAGTTTGGTGAGGAGGAGGATAGAGGTCGGACATACAGGATCTGGCGGGACGGAATTGAAAGGAGTGTTTGAATTGTAGGATCTGTAGAATATAGGCAGGTCGCCGTGTTTTAATGACTTGGTATAGGAAGGTAACAAGGAAATATTGACGGCGGTAGGACGGATAAAGCCACTTCAACTTGGTGTAGAACTGGGTAATATGCGTACCCCTTGAGGTCCCGAAGATGAAGCGGATTGAGCAATTCATTAAACTTTCAGTTTGGCTTCGAGTTCTCCCGAGAGTCCACCATACACAGGCCATATTCGAAGTGGAGGAAAACAAGAGAGACCAGGAGTTGACGGGTTTTGAACGGAAGAAGATAACGTAGATGGTTAAATTGTTTTAGGGTGGATATAGTACGGCGGGAAATTTGAGAGATGATGTGGTTTCCAGGAGAGGGTTTGTTCGAAGGTAACGCCAAAGTTTTTAACAGTGGTATGGAAGGCGATAGGTGAGTTATTCAGAGGAAGATTAGGAGGTGCTGAAATGGATTTGAGGAGTGAGGGGGATCCGATCAGGATGGCTTTTGCCTTCTCCGTATTTAATGTCAGCTTATTAAGATTTGCCCATGCGCGTATTCTGTTGCAGTTTCAGGATGGCATTAGAAGAATCTGTCAGGTTGAAGGAAAGATAAATTTGGACGTCATTGGTGTATAGGTGATATTGACAGTGTATGATAGAGGAAGGGAGGTTATTGATGTAGATGGAAAAGAGGGTGGGGAATAATGAGGAACCTTGTGAGACGCCTCTGGACATTGATGAGGTAGAGACATTGATTGAGGGTTATTAGGAACTACAACATACTGGGAGCGATCAGTTAGAAAGGATTGGAACCACTTAAGGCCACTAGGTGATAAAGAAGTATTTTTAAGTTTGGTTAGGAGGATATTATGGTCAACTGAGTCGAATACTTTAGAGAAATCAAGAAGGATCAGGATGGTGAGTTTCTGTTGATCTATGGCTGTGTGGAGATCTTGGGAGATTTTACTGAGGGCGGAATGAGTGGAGTAGTCTGGTCTAAAACCAGACTGAAAGAAGTTCAAATGTTTATTTTGTTCGAGATATTGGGATAGTTGAGATTGTACTATTCGTTCTAAAGGTTTGATAACAGGGAAATTGGACGGAAATCATTAGGGGTTGTGGGGTTAGAGATATTGTTAAGAGGACGAACAAGAGCGGTTTTCCAGGTTCCAGGAGAAATTATAGTTATGATAAAGGACTGGGAAAATGGATGGAAGTGAGGATTTAATTAATTTAACTGGGATATTATCTGGTCCAAAATCTTTGGTTTGGGATTTACAGATGGATTTAAGGACGTCGTCAGGGGTAATATGCGAAAAGAAAAAATGATTGGGATTAAAGGATGGATGTATGAGGGGTGGAGCTGGTGCTTGGACAGAGGGATCGGATGAACAGGAGACAAAATGAGTGTTGAGTATGTCTGCTGAAATAGAGGTAGTCTGGGTTTGGGTGGATTTGTCTACGGATAATTTACGGAGGATTGCCCACATAGCTTTGGAGTTTGGTGTGCTGGATAAGGATTGTTGGTAGTGGTGGGATTTGGCAAGGCGTATCATGGATTGCGTACTGTTTCGAAGCAGCTTGAAATTCATGTAGCCTTCGGGGAGTTGAGTACGCTTTAACCTTCGTTTTGTTGCGCCTTTTCGTTTGATGCGATTTTTTATCGCAGACGTAACCTCACATCGTAGTGTATGTGACTTTTGTTTGTAGTGTGCTGTAATTAGTGTACTGAGTGTGTGTCAGAGTACCGTTCCTTCAACCTGGAGGGCCAGTGGCTATTTGCAGTATGACGACTGGGCGATGGGGCCGCCACCTCCCTACTCCTAAATTGTTACTTATGTAAGTATAGATCAACTTCTGTTTTATGTTGAGTCAGTCCTTTAGCGTTCCACAGAATGATGGACAGGGAGCCTATAGTGAGTGCTTTAAGGAGCACAAGACCTGAATGATCTGTGAGAGTTGTTGCAGAAGGCTGTAAAGAGGTTGAATAAGATTATTTAAGCTAATTATTAAATACAAAATTTGAGAGGGATCATTTTCAGTTTTAAGTCCCAACTGAGCAATACCTCTCCTCATACCAGGAGGACTATGTGGAGCTGAAGGCTGAGGTTGTGTCTGATGAGGTGCTGAGGTAGGCTTAGGAAGTTGGGGCTTCAGCTGCTGATGTAGTGTTGGCATCTCAGTTGAGATTTGAGGTTGGGTGTGCTGCTGTACTTCTAATTCAGGTTGGGCAGGTTGCAAAAACTCAGCTGGCTGAGGTAGTGGTAGGAACTCCAGTATATGGGGGGGGGTGCAGCTTGTGGGGTGGCTGTTGCCCTGTTGGGTCCAGTATTTTCTGTACCATTAAGTATTGTAGAGTTTGGCACCCTCTATAGTTGGCTCAGTGCTCCCCCAGACATTCTGCACACTTTGCAGGGGTTTCTCAGCAGGAAGCACTTTCATGTCCAAAGGCACATTTCAAACATCTAGGAGGATGGTTACAATAAGTCTTTGTGTGGACGTATTTCTGGCAACTAATACATTGGGGTATTACTCTTTTTTTTCTTGGTTCTTCAACCTTTACATTAGTATTGTGTAGGAAGTCGATATTAAAAATTTCTTCATTGAATAAGTGTTTTGAAATGTTTGCAAAGAACATTGGTAGCAATTCTTTGACTCTTGACTGCTTCATAGCCATATTTTTTCAAGTTCTTCCTTGATTATGCCTGTTGATGTGGCGTAGTGCAATCCCTTTAGAACTATCCTAGGCATTTTGTCTTAGGGAAGTTGGTTTGTGTCAAATTCTGCCCCATCTAGAGGTGATGCAGGCTTGACACAAGTTTTCTGTGGATGTCAACTGTTTCAGGTTGGACAGTTACACCCGTTATTTTATTTTTAAATTTAAATGACTTTCATCCAACTTCATTTTGTAGAAAAAATACGAGGGCAATATAATTTTGCCACATCTATATAAATTGGTAGTTTTACGGACACATCTTCGTTTGCTGTCTGTACTTTATGAGTAGTTGTTTTTCAAGACAAGACTTCATAAAGATTCTGAGTCTTAGATGGATTTTCATTTGTTTTTTTTTCTTTCCTCGAATTTGTGGAAGAGGTTATGGACTTTTTTCGTCCTGTCACAAGCTCCTAATGTTGTTGTTAGCTGCAATATCGTCGCTCTGAAGGGTTTCTATGTCACTAAACTCCTGCTGAGAGGTCGAAGATTTGATCATTTTTCAACAGTAATAGTCACTTTTTAATGTTCTTTAAAACTCAAAAGAGTTCTAAAAGTAATACAAACACTTTATACCTAGTTTTTAAACTAAAATAAGCGAAAGCATAAAAACGTAACCTTCACGGTATCCTTAAGAACTTACAAATGTTATCCTACAGATAATTATATATCATCCACATTGTTTATGTGTACAAATAACTGAACTCGCACATCTGAAATTATCTATAATTTCTTATGTCTACCAATGCCTTTTCCTTTTTTTAATTTTAGATCTAGATACATACTAGACTGAAACGACAAGAATCTGCTCAACGTTTCCGATTACTTCAGCACTTACTAGACAAACGCTCTAAACTTCCAATTAATTACAAAAGACTCATATACATGACTATAATAAGGCCTATTTGGACTTACAAAGTTGAGCTATAGAGCTCCACTAAACCATCGAATTCCTCTCGTATCCAATCCTTACAATCCAAAATCCTAGATAAAATCCTCAATGATCCCTACTTTGTTACAAATAAAACCATCCATAATGACCTTAATGTTTCTTTTGTTTCAGATCTGGCCCAATCCAGATACCTATCCTTCCATAATAAACTTCAGAATCATCCCAACCCTCTAATTTCTAACCTTGCTTCCTCCTCAATTCCTGATAACCCTCTGAAGCGTCTGAAAAGAAGATAGCCCCATGATCTCCTAATGTAGACATATCATTAGAGTGTTACCATTGGGTAGTTACTCAGCAAGTGTTTTCATGTCATTATATCCATATGTTCAAATTTACTAGATGTATTTATTTAATACAGTTGTAAATATCATTAAGAAATAAAAAAATTAAAAATAAAGATCGAGATAACCTTCTAATTTAATTTATTCCTAATTATATCTAATGTTAGACAATTGTCATTAAATTGTAAATTTACTTTTCTTCTTTTACAAATATAATTTATGATCACAAGGACAAACTTCAATGTCAGTCCGACAGAAAATAAACATTTCCGAATGAAAATAAACATTTCTTGTGCTACTGCCAACAATCCCTTCTTTATATGAGTCAGTAAGTGGATGGGGATAATACAGTTATTCAAATTAAAAAAAAAGAAGGATCTAGTGGCACTTTTTAATTAATACGTCAGTAAATAGAATAAAATAAAAAAAATATCTTTATTGTTGGATAAAAATTTCAATCAAAATAGATATTATTAATCATTCTTCCTCAGTTGACACCACAATTTCTGAAAGAAAATAATAAAAAAAGTTATATATTTGTATATAAAATTGGAGTTTATTGTTATTATATGATATGAAGAAAAGTTAATATGTATAATAAATTATACTATAGTAAAATTTTATTATCTTTGTTAATATTATAGACAAGGCGGAAATAACGTCTGAGTCGGATACAAACAAATGCCTTCTCAGATCCGTCGGAACTCGACAAGTTATGTACACACACAAAGACAAAGATATGAATTACATAGATAATGATGTAGAGATGGTTGACCGTTAATGTAATATGAGAAGGAGTTAGTCGAGGGTGCGGTCAAATAAATAAACAAATTAAAATATATAAATTATTTTAATTTCTGCCGACGTTTCGACCCACTTTGCAGGTCGTCTTCAGGGCTACAAAAGATACAAACATGTTGAAAAAATAAAAAATAAATATAAGTATACATAAAATACGAAGAAGTTGTCAGATACAGAAATAAAAGATAAAGAAAATAAATACATGATAAGAAAATAGATAAAAGAAAATAAATACATGAATGCTAACGAATAAATGAATGTTAACGAATAAATAGATTGAAAATTGAATAACTATTGTTACAGTAAAGTTAAAATATGGATAAGATAACATAATAATAAGATATCAGTGGATAACAAGCAAGTGGAGGTTACCTTTAATTGTAAATAAACAGGTAACGGGACTAAAGGTTAAGAAGTGAAGAAATTGAAAGATTAATAGGGTAACATTAATGTAATATTGTTGGGATAGATTATTAAATATAAATAACTCTATAAGAAAACAATAATTTTAAAAGAATACTTTAAAATGTAAGAATAAATGTAAAAACAAGGTTATGATGATAAAGAAACAAAAAATAGGTTGTACTATATATAGATGACAATTGACATTTAGTTTTTTGAAAGCGGTAATGGAATGGTAGGCTGAATGAAGATAATAATAAGGTGTATAGTTGAAGGATAGGTGTGTTAAGAAAAGAATCACAATAAAAGTCAAAACATACCGTAGGATGTGGCACTGCGGGAGGCAGTTGAAACACTGGCAGTGTCAAAAAACTCTAGTTAGCAGTGTCAAAAAAAAGTTCTAGTAAAAATAAACGCATACATACATACACATATATACACATACAAACACACATACACACACATATATATATATATATATTTAAACTTCACTATTTAATTGGGAATAAGGTCACTTAATTATTATTTAATAAACTAATTAATGTTCATTTCTTCTGTTTATTGACGTTTCGATCCCGGTATTTTCTTTTTATTAGTCAACCATGGGATCCTCTTCAAAGCTAGAATTTAAAAAAATAGAGCTTCGATCAGGCCAGGGACACACCGACAGCCTCAGCACCGTCCACTAGCACATATATTAAGCTACTGGCTTCTAGCTTTGAAGAGGATCCCATGGTTGACTAATAAAAAGAAAATACCGGGATCGAAACGTCAATAAACAGAAGAAATGAACATTAATTAGTTTATTAAATAATAATTAAGTGACCTTATTCCCAATTAAATAGTGAAGTTTAAATTTAATACTCAAAGGTCGATTAAGGAAAAGTTGTAAATATATATATACATCAACAGTCTGGCCAGAGACGGCAGTGAGTAAACATCTACGGAGCGCTTTCTTTCAATTTGATATATTGAGCCCAATTTTGGTTTTTTCTTTCGTTGTTTCTTCTCTTAACAGTGTCATACTATCGAACGTAATCTTTAAAACTTCTTATATTTACGTATTTTCACGCTACTCAACGTAAAGAAAATATAGTGAGAGTGCTACGAGCCTTGTGAGTGTTAAGCTAATAATCCTATTAGTATTAGCAGTTGTTTGCTTGGTGGATCACAACATCAACTTCACTTGACATTAACTGTAAGTTATTTTTTATTATTAAAAATGGTCCAGTGCACGATTTGTAATAACGCTATTGCCCGTGAAGATAAATACAATTTATGTTGTACCAAGTGCAAAGTTATTTATCACGGCAAGTGTTTTAATCTCACAGACAAAGAGATAGAAGCTCAGAGAAGCACAAAAAAAACATGGATGTGCCTAAATTGCGATCAAACTAAGAAACTAAATTTAAACAATGAACCGCCTGTATCAGAAATATTAGCAGCAGTTAATAGACTGGATAGTCATGTTAGTGAGGAAATAAGGGATATGAAGACAGCCCTCGATAAATATGGAGACCTCAGCTTTGAACTGAATGAGAGGTTATCTAAATTAGAAAAACATCTCGAGGGCCAAGCCAAACATTTTGAGGAGATCATTTTGGAAAATAAAGCCCTCAAAGCTCGAGTGGGCGATTTAGAGATCCGCCTGAACAAAACAGAACAGGGTCAATTATCTAGATCGCTGGAGATCCGTGGGATCCCAGTGCGAGCAGGCGAGACGCCCGCGGCTCTGGTGACCAGTATAGCCGCGGGGCTGGGCATCAAGCTCGGAGTGGAGGATTTGGATGTCGTGCAGCGCCGCAGAAGCAAGAAGGATGACCCGCGACCGCCGCCGGTAATAGCACATTTCGTCAGGCAGTCAGTGAGGGACGACCTGATAGCGAAAAGGAAAGTGAAGAGGGATTTCTCGACGCGTGATATCGGGTGGCAGGAAAACGACTGCCACCGAATTTATCTCGGCGAGGAGATGACCCCAACAAACAGGCACCTCTACTGGCTAGCCCGGCAGAAGAGAGCTGCCGGGAAGATAAGATACGTATGGTTCTCTGCCGGCATTGTGCGTTGCCGAAAAGAAGACGGCCATCAAGTAATCTTGATTAATCAGGCATCGGATCTAGAAGTTTTCGCCTGACTGCACAGGTTTCATCTCTTCTTCTCGTTCTTCAAAGTACTTTTTGTCTTCATTGGTGCCCAAATAACATTGAAGATTTTGGTTAAAATTTCTCACAGCTCCAGTTTACTAATTTGTTTATTTTCTTACTCTTATTTCTCACTTATTTTTTCATTATTCACTTTTATTTTGCTTATCAGTACTTTTCATAATTTTTTTTCAGAATATGATATATGCCTCATTTCCTCTATGCTAATTTCTGACTGTTTCCCATCAAATCCTCCCCATGTCTAGCATCCTAACCACCTGCCACGTTAACTCGCAATCCCTTCCCGCCCATTATGATGAATTCCTGCAGTACTTTTCTCAAAACTTTTTTCACATCATCGCAATCTCAGAAACCTGGCTCAAACCCTATATTCCGTCCTCATCTGGCTCCTTACCTAATTACACCCTCATCCGCCACGACCGGGTCAGCCGGACTGGTGGTGGAGTGGCCATATTTGTCCACGATAGCCTGAAGTCCCGAATCCTTGATTACTCCCCACCCTCCGAACATCCACAAGTGGAGTACCTTCTAGTAGAAATTACCTGTAATAATTCACCTCTCCTTTACATAGTGATCTACCGTCCTCCCCTTGTTCCATTTGATCCGTCCTTAGAATCAACCTTACTCAACTTTGTTCCCCTCTATCCTAGAATAATCATCGCCGGTGACCTCAATACCAATTTCCTTTCTAATTCCAAAGACAAAACCTATCTAGAAAACCTATTTTTTTCCCTCCATCTCTTTATTGTTCCTTTTTATCCTACTCACCACACCCACAAGGCCGACACTTGGTTAGACTTCTTCATTATAGACTCCGAAATAAATCTCCTCTCCTCTTCTCAACTGCCAGTATCCTTCTTATCGTCTCACGACATGATCCAAATAACATATAATATCCAAACCCCTCTGATTCATCCGAGAACCTTCACTTTCCGTCAGATAGACACTCTCACCCGTGAAAAAATACTACCTGACCTTGAAACCTTAGACTTGAACGAAATATATTCCTGCTCCTCCATCGACTCCATGGTTGAAATCCTGACTTCCAATCTCCTCAATATCCTTAACACCCATGCTCCCATAAAAACATCAACCTTTCGCCGTCGGCCTGCACCTTGGATGTGTCAAGAAATCAAGGATCTGCAGAAGAGGCGTGATGCTGCCCGCAGACGCTTTAGACGTACTAGGCTTACAGATGACTATCAAGCGTTTAGGGTGCTCCGCAATTTGACACAAACAAGAATTCGGCGAGCTAAAGCTTCCTACTTCCATGAAGCCCTGTCATCTGCCCCAGATCCCAAATCTAAATGGCTAATCCTTCGCAAACTTTCCCTCTGTGAACCTTCTAGATCCCCTTCCTCACTGTTCTTTTCCGTTTCACCTGACGATTTAAATTCACATTTTATTTCTGCCTCCTCTACCTCTTCTCTTCCCTCCTCTTCCAACTATGCTCCTGAGTCATCATTTAATGATGATGACTTTTATTTCTCCTACATTTCCCCGACTGACTTACTAACCGCAGTAATGAAATCCCACACCAATTCCATAGGACCAGATGGCATTCCTGTCAAATTGATAAAATTATGTCTCCCCGAAATCCTCCCAGTTCTCCTTTTCATTTACAATTTCTCCCTACAGAACTCAATATTCCCTTCCTCTTGGAAAAAAGCCATTGTACTCCCTTTAAATAAAAAGCCTAATCCATCCTCTCCCGAAGACTTTCGCCCAATCTCAATTCTTTCCAATCTCTCAAAACCCCTAGAAAGATTGGTACAATCCCAAGTTTCCAATTTCCTAGAAAAGTCTAACCAACTCGATCCTCTCCAATCTGGTTTCCGTCCCGGCTACTCCACACAATCCGCCTTAATCAAAATTACTAATGATGTTCAGACTGCAATAGATAATAAACAACTAACTGTCCTTATACTTCTTGACTTCTCTAAAGCCTTTGATTCCATTAACCATCCCATCCTTTTCAACAAACTAAAATCACTCTCCTTCTCCAATAGCTCCATCTCTTGGTTCCAATCTTTCCTATCACAACGCACCCAAGCAGTCTCCATTCCTAATCAACCACTATCTGCCTACCTGCCTTTATCCTCTGGAGTCGCCCAAGGATCTAGCATATCTCCTCTCCTTTT